GCAGCACTGGCCGTCCGATTAGACTCGTTCGGGGGGGGGGGGGCAGTCTACGCAGCCAGCGCTGCGCTGGAACCCGACCGCACACACGCAGCATTCCCCACAGCCATTGCGGCGGGCGAGCTAGGAGGAAAAGCCATGGAAGAAGTGTCCGGAGAAATTCGTCACGGTAGCCGGTCGCCCTGAGTTCGGTTGGTGTTCTCGTGCGAGATTGCCCCATGTCGCCGCGGTTGCTTTGTCCAGGCGATCCACGGCGATTAGTGGGCGTTGGTTCGCCTTCTAGCTTGCCAGAGGCCAACCCCTTGTCGAGGGTCTGCGCCGAGCAGCGTGGGTCTGCCTTCTCTAAGCGTGGATCTGCCCCGTGTCCAGCGACTGCGGCTGCCGCGCGGGTATGCTTTATCCAGACAGGGACCCGTTCCTTATCCAGGAACTGCGGCTGCATCGGGCTTGCCTTATCCAGGCAAGGACTCTCTTCCCTATCGGGGACCCGAGCGTAGGCGCGAGTGCCTGGTACACGAGGACGGTTTGTCCTTGGCCCCCTTGGGCGCTCCCTGTCGGGGAGTCGAGTATAGGCGCAAGCGCGCGCTTTGGGCACGACGCGTAAGCGACGGCAGCAAAGCAGCGGCGGCACAGTTTTTGGAAGGCGGAGAGGCCGCAAGCTCGCCTTGGCAGGCAGAAGGCGGAAACGCAGAGCAGGCGAAGGTCCAGGAGCCCGTCCTGGCCATTTCATGGCCCCAGAAACCACAGATTTACGGATTGTGGAAGCCGCGGTGAACCATGGGACCCAGGTCGCCTCGGGGTCCGAGGCGCCGAGAAAGCACGTCGGGGGAGCCTTTTTGGCTTTTATTCCCGACCAAGAACAACCCCGCTGTGAAAAGGACAGCAGGTGACTGCCATCACCAAGTTGGCGGGTGCGAAGTGGAAGGCGCTGAGAGCGACGGAGAAGAAACCGCTTTAGAAGGAGCACGAGAAGGCCGTGGAGCCGTACCACTAGAAAGCCTTCGCGGAGGCGCCACCGAGGAGGCCGACGAGACCACCCGCGTCAATGCCGAGGCCGCCGAGGCCCTCCAGGTGGAGGACGCCATGGAAGCAGCAGGCGATCATGGCGCCCCAGGTCGCTGCGGAGTGCCGAGCGACGGCGTCTTTGGGAAGGAAACTGACTGCGGCCGTTGGCGATCTCGTCTCCGCGATCGTCAACATGAGCCCGACCAAAACATCCACGTGAAGAAGGTTCCCGTGCAGCAGGCGATCGTGACAACTGGGCCCGTGGATGCGTGAGCGCTGCGTCGGGATTCCTTTTCAGAAGGATTTGGCAGATGGCTCCAGCAGCTGACCGGGATCCAGCCGTACACTTGGACGGTGGCGAGTAGGCGCCCTGCCGCCATAACATTGCCGATTGTGTAAGATCATCGGTTTGCCAGCCATCGTGCAGACGAGGATCAAGACCCTCACTATTGTCCGCCTGCAGACTGCGGCGAGGCGCGGGTCAGCACCGCCAGCCTGAAAGGTGCCCATCCTTTGGCGCAGCGCTGCCCGATGAGATGCGAGCGTCCCTGGGGCCCCATCCTTTCGACGCAGCGCTATCCACTGGGACTCGTGTGTAAGATGTTGAGAGGCGGCCGCAGGGCCTGGCGCGGCCTTCGCGCCTCGGCCGCCCGAAGATGGGAGGCGAGTTCGAGCGCCGCGTGGCCACCAAGACGCTTGCAGGCAGCAGATCACGCACGCAGTTGACTCGGGCTGAGGCAGCAGAGGCCCGTGACCCGCGAGGATGGCTGCCTGGAGCGCCGAGGCCGGCGAGGCCTCGCGGAGAGGACGCCTGGCAGGGGAGGCCACACATGATTTCGAAGTCGTTCCTCTTCGTTCCTCTTCGTTCCTCATCTCCTTCCTCCTCCTCTTGCTCGGGGATCGAGGTTCCTCTGCCGTCTTTGCGCTCAGGGGCCTCCAAAGGAGGCCTCAGGAGACCTCCAGGACCTTCTCCTCGGAAGGGGGAGAGGGGGGGCGGATGATTGAGAGCGCAGGGAGGGGAGGGGTGATGGAGGAGGGAGCAGGGGTGAGTAGGTGGAGGATGGGAGATGGATGGGGGTAGAAGGCGGAGGATGGAGGAGAACAGATGAGAAAGAGGGAGGGGGGAGGACGCATGAGCGATGAGGAAGGGAGGACGCAGGAGGTGAGAAGGGAAAAGGGAGGAGGGAGAGCACGGAGTGAAACGAATTTCGGGGACGGCGGCGGGATTCTCACCTGAGCTCTTCCCTCAGCCCTCGGCTCCTCCCTCAACCCGCTCTCCCCGGGCCTCCGACGCCATGTCGTTCTCTCCACGTAGCGCCTAGAGCTCTCGAGTACGACTCCTTCACGGGGGGCTGGTTCTTCGCCCAGGTCGTTTCGGTGTTGCTTGTGCTCGAGAATCTCAGGGCAAATCATTAACTCTATGCGGAGATGCCCACATGTCGCCGCGCCGTTCGTTCCGATTCGTAGCCTTACGTCTTGGGGTGGGCGCCGCGGCCAACCAGGGCAAATTCCGCCGTGGGCGCGGCGGGTGTGCGGTGGGTTTGCCGCGGTGTTGGTTTCGTCTCTCGGGGCGCGGGGCGCAGGGTCTGCCGTGGGTTTGCCGTGGTGTCGGTGTCGTCCACTTGGGCGCATCGAGATCAATCGGCGCGGCGACATATGTGTATCTCAGTTCCTGCTACTTCCGTCTGTTAGCGTTTCAATGAAAGAACCGTAGCCTGTGGCGACTGAGTGTTCCCTAGCTGGTCCTCCTTGGGGTGCCCAAATGTTACGCCTCGCTGCGAGAACGGGGCTCGCAAAAACGAGGGTGTTGGGCCACCAAGCAGGCAAACCGCTTAACACATCCCCACGATTTAGACGCGAACAGGCAAGTGTATCACCCCCTGGCGGCTCCTCCATGGGGTGCGAAAACAAGCGCCACGCTCGGGACATCTTCACGATCCCGTCTGAAAGGGGAGGGGCCCGGGTCAGGCAAACCACCTGAGACATCCCCACATTGTGGGCGCGAGCAGGCAAGTGTAACACCACCTGGCGGCTTCCCCATGGTGTGCTAGGACAAGCGCCTCGCTCGGGACAGTGCAACGATCTGCTTTGGAAGCCGTGGACCTTGGCGGCAATGGACACATGTTACACCTCCTGGCGGCTCCCCCCTTGGGGAGCTAAACCCAACGCCTCGCTCCAGGCATACTCACGATGTGCTTTCAACGCAGAGGAGCCTAGGCCACTAACCAGGCAAGCCGTCTGAGACATTCCCACAATCTGGGCGCGAACAGGCACGTGTACCCCTCCCCTGGCAGCTCCCCCTTGAGGAGCTAGAACTAGTGCTTCTTTCGGGACATCCTCACGACCTTCCTTGAGAGCAGAGGAGCCTGGGCCACCAAACAGGCAAACCGCCTGAGACATCCCCATAATCTGGGCACGAACAGGCGAGTGTAACGCCCCCTGGCGGGCCCCCCCTGAGGATGCCCAAGTGCCACGCCTGCTATGTTGCGGTGGTTATGTGCATATATATATATATATATACACACATAGACACAAAACTGCAGTGGCGCTTCGCGCCATGCACCTTGGTCCTTGAATATTAGTATGCAGGCGGAATAGCAGGAAGGTCAAGCCCACAAATTAGCCATAACTCCGTGTTGCCTTTTCCGGCATCGCCGCTAAAATCATGTTATTCGTGATCCTTCTTCCATGCTTATTTTCCTTCATTTTCGCCATACCCTGCGCATTCTCCCCATCCTCCTCAGCTCTTTTTTGCGGAGGCTCCTCCTTGGAGAGCCTCTGGGGGCCTCGCAAAAGCTGTTTCAGGCTTTCTTGAGGCCTTCTGGAGGCCTCTTGGGCGTATTCTGGTGGCCTCTGGGGGCTTCCTCGGGCCACCCTGCCTCTAACCGCGGTCTCCCTGAACGACCGGGTCACGATTTGGAATGCTTCGGAGGGTGTCTAGGGGCCATCTTGGGCCGCCATGGGGCTCTCTGAGGGCCATGGACCCGTGTTGCGCTCGCTGTTTTGGGACTCTCTTGGACTGCCTGGAAGCCCTTTCGGATGGTTGTGGGGCGAATTTTGGAGCCTCCCAGGCGGCTTCGGACGCCCAGAATACCGCCGTCTTGGAGCGTCGGGAAGACGAAAAGAGGAGAACCCCAAAATTCACTAAAAACCAAAAGAAAGTAAATGATTTTTGCCTCTTGGGGCCTTCTTGGGAGTGCTCTTGGAGGCCTCTTTGGGGCCGTCCTGGAGGCTTCTTGGGCCATCTTGAGGTCACGTCGGTCACTTTTCGAGCGCTCTTGTGCTGTCTTGGGTGTCTCTGGGACGTCTCCGATGACCCCCCTGATCGCCCTAGGTGTGCTGGGAAGGCTTGGCAAAACGCCCTGCGAGGCCAGGGGGGCCGCTTCGAGGCCCGTCCGGAGGGTCCCTAAGCCCCAGATCCCGGGAGTCCGGTTTGGGGAGAGGAGGGTTTTTTCCCCCGCCCGGGCTTATAAGAACATAGGAAGAGGAATCTTATATATATACACATATGTGTGTATGTACGACTGATCATATTGTGAGTCGCATGCGATTGCAAGAATATGAGTTCACCTGGCCGGGTATGGGGGATGAGTGGTAGTAGTTCGTGCAAGGGTGCTTACGAGTCTACGTCGATCTGAGTGAGCGAGAGTGATCTGAGTGTAGGCTGAGTTCTCTGATTGTGAGTGAGTCTGAGCCTGAGTGATTTGTGAGTGCGATTGGTGTGATCTGAGTGTGGTGGAAGGAAGAAGGGAGGAAGGGGTGAGTAAAGAGTCGGAGGCGCCACACGAGTAACAGCAATTCTTTGTTTCCGAATACGGGGAAGAACAAGGTTACATGATCTGGAAGTCCTGGAACCATCCGCTCCCTCCTTTCTCTCTTTCTTTCCCCCTTCCGTCACGGACCAATTTGGCTCAGGCTCCTGGGAGGCCCAGCGCGCAACGCCAGAGGGGGGGAGGACACAGGCGCCCCGCCGCCCCCCCCTCCCCCTCGCCGCTGCGATGCCATGGGCGCCTCCAGAGTGGTGCGCTGAGCCGGGCGCCAGCGCCCCCCGCGCGAGCGTCACCGTCCGGGACGCGCGGAACGGCTTCAAGGAGCACGACATCTCCAGGGCGGCGTTCTTCGTCCTGTGCAGGGGTCAGCAGGACCCCGGCGAGGCCTCGGGCCGCGCACACGCAGCCCCCCGGAGATCAAGCGGCCCCGGCTGGCCTCGGCAGGCCAGGACGGTGCACCATGAGGAGAAGGGGGTCGGTCCCCCAGGGACGGGGGCTCTGGTGTCTGTCGCCGCTTTCGGCCTCGCGGGGACCCTTTCAGGTCTTCCTGCGGGACCGGGAGCCGTCAACAGAAACGATCTCGAGGATGAACCACAGGTTCCTGTCCTGGGGTAAGCTCCTGGGTCCATGGCCTGATTGCCTCAGGACTCTTTCCAGAGGTGTCTCGGCACCCCCAGCCTGGGGCGGCGCTGGGCGCTCAGACCGCCTGGGCGAAATACCCTGGGGGGCTGTTGCTCTGTGCGCCACCGCGGGCCTTGCCGAGCAGGACTCCGGCGGCGCAGACCAGCAGGCGTCCTCCTGGCACGCGGCGGTCCTCCGCAACGAGAGCGGGGAGTGCTTCGTGATGGACCTGAGCAGCGCGGCCGGCACGTTCCTCGATGGCCAGCGGCTTCTACCCGGCAAGGCGCACAGGTGGCTGCACGGCACCCCCGTGGTTTTAGGCGCCCCACCATTGGAGGAGCGCGTGACGCTGCGCCTCGCAGCTCCTGTGCCTCCGGCGTCCGCCAGCAGGCAGGCGAAGCGTGCCGCCAGGGACGTGTCCGAGGGCCAGTGCGAGGCGAAGCGCAGATGCCTAGACCCGCCCGACGACGGCGCGTCGAAGCAACAGCGCCGAGGCGTCGCAGGCACCGCCCGCCCGCCGCAGCAGGTCGCCCCTTGCAAGGGAGGCGCTGGCGCGCCGCCGACATGCGTGCACAAGTGCCCGCCGCAGCAGGTTGCCCCTTGCAAGTGCGACAAATGCGACGGGCCGCACGCCACCGCCGCCTGCCCGCACTTCAAGAAAGGGCGCGAGGAGCACAAGGACGCGTGGGCCAATTACGGGCGCAAGCACCAGTTACCGATGGCCACCGCGGGTAGCAGGCTGATAGTCAAGAGCGGCCGCGTTTGGCGCCAGCCTGGTGACGGTAGCTGCCTCTTCCACTCGCTGTGTTTCGGCCTCAACAGTGGTGGCCAGCAGGGACGGCTGCGTGCTATGCAGCTACGACGTGAACTGGCCGAGTACCTTCAGCGGCACCCAAAGGCAGAGATCTCTGGGAACACGCTGGAGGAGTGGGTCAAGTGGGACGCCAACTCCACCGTCCAGGGCTACGGCCGCCGGATGGCGACGGGTAGCGGCTGGGGCGGGGGCATCGAAATGGCGGTCTGTTCTTTGCTGAAGAAAGTAAACGTGCATGTGTACGAGCGCCGGAGGAGCGGCTCGTTCGAGCGTATCTCTTGCTTTGACTGCCCGGAGCCTACCAAGAGAACCATCAATGTGATCTATCAGGGCGGCGTGCACTACGACGCCTTCGCGCCAAGCAAGTGAGCCGAGTGAAGGGCGGCCGAAAGAGGGGAATGAGTCGAATGAGAATGAATAAGCTGCGGAGGGAAGATGTGGGAACCAGGTCGGTGCAGTCGGGGCCGGGGTGCGTCAGAGGTCAGAGCCTCGAGCCAGGAGCACCTGAAAACTGGCAGGCGGCCCCCCGCAAGCTGGACTTGGTGCCCCTGCGCCCTTGCGCGCGCCCCTCGTGTCGCGCAGCCAACGCTCGTCTCTGCTGGTGCCCGCGCCCCGACCTCTCGGTTTTGCGTTGGCTCCCTCCGCGGCGCCACTGCCACCGTAATTTAATGATTCGTGTGCTTTTCTAGCCAGCGGTGTTCCGCTGACATCGTCGCCGCGGCGCTCCGTCACGAGCGTGGCCCCGGCCGGCAGGAAGCCCAAGGCCTGATGCGGATCCGGGCTAGGGCCTGGGGCCCCCAGGCCACGGAGAGCAGCCCTGTTTCTCCGAAGGAGGAGGCTGCCCCGCGGCGGGGGTGGAAGAATCTGGCCCTCGGCGGATCCTGCTGCGCTGTAAGCGGTCCTTTTTGCGGCGGGCCAGCGTAAACCATCGTGAGCAGCAGCAGCCATCTTCTTGCCCTCACCGATCGTCGGGCCGATTGTCGTCAGCATCAGCCCGAACCCTGCCAGCACCGCTATCTATTGTCAGAGTCGGGGGCCGAGCGGTCTCACACGGTGCGAACTTGTTATCGTTGTGTTGCGTTGTTGTCGTCGGTTAGCCCCGCAACCCATCCGCAATCCGCCCGCGATCCTCAGCGACCCGCGAACCGACCGCCCCTCCCCACACAAAGCAGACTCGCAACACACATACACACACACACACCCATCCCCCCCCCCCGGCCCCCCCCCCTCTTCCCCCCTCCCCCCCACACGCAACGCACGCACGCACGCACGCACGCACGCACGCACGCACGCACGCACGCACGCGCGCGCACGCACACACACACACACACACCCACACACACCACACACACCCACACACACACCCACACACCCACACACACACCCACACACCCACACACCCACACACCCACACACCCCACACACACACACGCACACGCACCGCACACGCACACGCACACGCACACGCACACGCACACGCACACGCACACGCACACGCACACGCACACGCACAGGCACAGGCACAGGCACACGCACACGCACACACACACACACAGACACACACAGACACACACAGACACACACAGACACACACAGACACACACACAGACACACACAGACACACACAGACACACACAGCCGCACACAGACACACACAGACACACACAGACACACACAGACACACACAGACACACACACACACACACGCACGCACGCACGCACGCACGCACGCACGCACGCACGCACGCACGCACACACGCACACACACACACAGCTGGGGTTCAGGGGCTGGCAGGAGGTCTTCGGCTTCGGCGTTTTGTTTGGCACTCAACAATGAGATTGATGCGGCGCAGGGCAAGAAGACTCACATTGATTATCGACATTTGGAAATGTTTCGAGCGCATAGACCCCAGCGTGCTGCTGCGCGAGGCTGCGGCAGCACAGTATCCCTTGCGCATGGCCTGGATGCTCATTCCGGCATACCGTTTTCCCCGCACGCTGAGAGCGCATGGCAGTGAGTCGAAGTTCTTCGTCTCAGAGCAAGGCATCGTGGCAGGTTGCTCTCACGCGACGACAGTGTTGGAGTTCCTCCTGTACAGATCCATGCGCAGGCTTTCGGGGATTTGCCTAAATGTGACACCGCACCAGCTCGTGGACGACACATCGCTGCGCTGGAGTGGCTCAGCTGCGCAGTGCGCTGAGGAGGTGGCGATTGCTGCTGATGAGGTGCAGGCTGCACTCGCTGATCTTCGCCTGCCAGTGCAGGTGAAGAAGCTCGGCTACGTGGCCTCCGACGTGGCCACGGAGAGGGCCGTGCAGCGGGTCGCACAGCAGAGGAAGTTCACGAGGCAGCGCTGGATGAGGAACCTCGGGCATGAGCTCACGACTGTGCGGTTTTTGAGGCTGCAGGAGCAGGCCAGGATGAGTGCGCTACGGACGAGAGTTCGACGGCCGCATATCCTTAAGCGAGCGGCTGGAGTTCGACAGATGACTCGAATTCAAAGCACAGGCCTCACCCTTTCGGTCCTTCACGGCGCTGCGGTGATGGGTGTGGCAGAGCATGTCCTGAAGCCTGTGCGCTCGCTGGCAGGCGCTCTGGCAGGGGTAAAGGCGGCCGCGTCTTTGACCACGTGCATGGTGATGCAGCGCAGTCCGAGGTACGATCCCATCTTTGCTGCCACGCTGGAACTGCCGTGCCTCTACGCGCCGTGGATGTGGGAGGCCAAGGTATCTCTCGTGCAGCTCCAGCACGCTTGGGAGCTGATGGCAGGTCGAATGCAGAAGGCTGAGGCCTGGTCCAAGGCCACAGGCCCACTATCGGCTTTGTGGATGACACTTCGGCGAGTTGGTTGGTCGATGCGATGCGCGCACGAGGTGATCACGGACAAGAATGAGTATTTCTCGCTGCTGGCTGTGCTCCTCGTGACTTCCGAGATCTAGTGGAGGCTGGAGTACAACGGTGGCAGATGCGACGTGTGCTGCAACGCCTGCCAGGTCATGACGGAGAGGAGCTGTGGTATCGTGCAGTTCGTGCGTGCACTCAGGGTCCTCGCGCCGTGCGAGGCTCGGCAGAGCTTGGCGCTCTGCAGTGCCTGTGGACAGGCGCCATGTGGCCACGAGAGGAGAAGTTGTGCCATGGTTGTGTTGCGTCGCCTGGTTCCTCGGCATGTTCGGAAAAGAAGCCCGAGACGTTCGGGCACAGATGGCTGGATTACCCAGCTTTGCTTGAGAGCTCGGAAGCCGATCCGCTGGAGGAGGAAACGCGTGAGCACAAGCGTAGGGTCGCCACGCGTGAGCAGATGCGTAAGGAGGTGCTGGGGTCGGCTGATCCCACTTTCTTCGATTCTGTTCAGCACGCTTTCGCGTGGCCGCTTGTCCCTCCTCAGTCTGAGAGGCCTGATCGTACTCCCGAGCAATGGTTTGAATGGGGTGACCCTGAGATTCCCTGGGAAGGCACGGTCTACACGGATGAGGCTGGCCAGGACGTGCAGGTTCCAGAAGTTGCGCGCTGTGCCTGGGCGATTGTGCAGTTTGGTTCCCAGGGCCGCCCGTCCAAGGCCAGGTTTGGAAGCCTCCCAGGGATCCAGTCGGTGCCCAGAGCAGCAAGATATGCTGCCTATCAGGCTGTGCTTGCCGCGCCGCGTGTAACTATAATTGTAAGCGATCGCCTGTCTTTGGTCCAATGGGGGGGAGCGGTGGGGCGAGAGTGAGGCGTCGGCCGCTGCTCGCCACGCGGAGACTTGGCGCGCCATAAGAGCTACGGTCGAGCGGCAGGCTCGCCCCCCGCCCCGCTTTGCCTGAACCCCTTCTCGCAAGACGGCCGAGGAAGCGCTTAGTCGGGGAGTGGGGGGCGATGGCTTGGGTGGGAAACGCGTGGGCGGATTCCTTTGCCACTGTTGCGTTGCATGTTGTCACGATCAGCCCCAATGTCGGGAAGGGCCTTGAGCTGCGCCTTGCCGAGGCTGTGCATCGTGCCAGGTGTGTGGCCTGGGCTGGCAAGCGAGTGCTCGGCTCAGGACGGTGGGGCGGCCCCAAGGATGAGCCCCGTGCCCGCAACCCCCCACCGAAGCCGCCCAGCCTGGCCATTGTTTCCCACGAGCTGGCGCCTGGTGGACAGGGTTTCCGTTGCAGGAATTGTAATCGTGCGGGGTTTTCGGAAGAGACGATCCGTGGTCTGCTGACCCGCCCCCGTCGGCCTTCCGCCCTGCTCCGTGCTCGAGCTGTGGCCCTTTTGGCGATGCACAGCCCATCCAAAGCCGAGGAGAGTCCTGCTCCCCCCTCCGCTCCGTCGGCCCTTGCCCTGGGCCTGGCGGCCGCGGCGGCTTGTGCTGCGACTGCGATTCGCGAAGACCCCTGCGCTTCGCAGGGCTGGCTTGAGCGAGGGCGCGAAGTTAGCAGGTCTCCTCGGCGCGAGGCGTGTGCCGGCCCTGCTGCTGGCTCTGGAGGCGGCGGAGGTCCGTCGTCGTCGTCGGGGAGGCGGAGGGCGGATTCGCATGAGGAGCGACGGGCTGCGCTCACGGCTCACCTCCTCAGAGCTGCGGGAGGCGCACCTGCTGCTCCTGCCTCTGCTGCTTCGCCTCCCCCTGCTGCACTCCCCTCGGGAGGATTGCTGGAGGCCCCCCTGGAGGAGCAGGAGGAGGGGGGGCAGGGGATCGTGCGATGCGAACTCGCGCGATGCGCCCCGCTGCGGGCCCCGCGCCGCCGACGGCGCCCCTGCCGACGACGGCGGCCGCTGCCGGTGCAGCGCGAGCCCCGCAGCAGCGAGGCGAGGACTCCCGACTGCCTGCCGCCGCTGCTGACACCGCTGCGGGATGGGGGGCGGCGGAGCGGGGCTCGGGGAACTGAAGCGGAGGAGGTCTCTGAGGCGCTTGGCCATGAGATCCCCCAGAGGCCTCCGTGCACGGTGTGCAGGCGTTGTGGAGCGTATGCCAAGCGGCAAGGGCGGCTGTTGGGGGCCCCCTGCACTGGCGCCCTCCCCGCCCCTGACCGTTGCGTCACCCCCGCGGAGCGGGGGCGGGCCAAGCGCCGTGACCGCCTGGTGGCGAAGCTCCACCCTGGGACGGGGGCCCCCCTCGCTCCTGGTCGGGGCGAGGCCCCAGGTCCTTCTGGCCTCGGGAGGCCCTGCAGGCTGCGCCTGCCCTCTTGATTCGGTCTGTGGACCGTTTCTGTGCTCTGGAACTTTCTGGGTTTCTAGAGCTGCCCCGCAGGCTCGGCCTGCCCTTGCTCGCGGTCTGGGGACCGTGCGCTGTGCTCTGATCCCTTGAGAGGCCCCAAGAGCCCTCGGCCCTTGTGGCCCGTCACAAGAACAGGGCTGTGTTCGACCACGGACGCGGTCTCTCTGACGAGCGACACACACACACACACACGCA